CTTTTGTCTTGCAATCAGTTTCACATTGGGCTTTATCTATAAGGCTTCACTTGAACAAAGAGCAGAGTTCTATGGCTTAAAAATTGGTGCAAAAACCCCACTGCACTAGATAACCTCTATGGTAGTCATTTCTAGCTTCAATATTTTGATTTGGAGATTTTTTTTTTTAACCAAGACAGGAGATAAGCCTTTAATAGGAATAAATTATTTTTAACTGAAGAGCAAACAGGGTTAAAAACTTTTCTTGGTGAAGAACACGAACATGAACCACGGTGGTTATTTCCAGGGCTGGCGGTGAGTCACCACCTTCAACTCCTCAGGACACAGCATTCAAGTTCAAGTGGAATCTAGTTAAACAAACGTAATTTCGCTTTCTGTCTTTTTTGTGTTAATACCTAAATATACTTATTAATAATTCTACACACAAAGAACTCAATTCAGTGGCTTGATTTAAAAAACAACAACCACTAACTTTATTTTTATTAGCTTTAAAAACAAAACTTGTTACAATTAATCACAGACTCCCAAAAAATTACAGTCTGCTTCTGTCACCTTGACAGGACAAGGAATGTTTAAATGTCCTCAAAGTACAGGATAGGCCACGTTGACAAGACACAAACTACTACACACAGTGGACGGCCACTTCAAGCGCACAAAAATATGGAGCACTTATGTGTAAATTACCAGTTTTTTGAAGTACAACAGATATTTACTAGCGTTTATAGTACCAGCAAGGTAACGTGGCCAAAAATAGAACACCAGATCACAAACACGTTCAGACGAAATGGTAAGTTCAGCTCCCGGGTTCCACTAAGACAGAAGGACGGGGAACTTTTCTTTAACTCGGAGGATATGCACAATACAGCAGAAATGTAAATCCACACTCACGGGAACCGCTTTGGGCTGAGGAGCAGCGGGAAGAATGTATGGCACAGTAATAGGATTAGCCACCTTGATCTCTCCTCAGTCCCCAGTCTGAGTTAGGAAGATTGGGACAACACAGAAAACAACACCGAAAAACACACATTATCTGCAGTGACAGAAACCTTCCATATGACAAGAATGAACATTCAGTCAAAGCTGTGTGCTTACAGGGCGGGATTTTGTCTACGTTTACACTAGACCCTGCTTATTTTGTCAAAATATATTTTTATTGATTTCAGACAGGAAGGGAGAGGGAGAGATAGATAGAAACATCAATGAGAGAGAATCATCGATTGGCTGCCTCCTGCACATCCCCCAATGGGGATTGAGCCCACACCTGGGCATATGCCCCGACTAGGAATCGAACTGTGACCTCCTGGTGCGTAGGTCGACGCTCAACCACTGAGCACACCAGTCGGGCCAATGGGCCCTGTTTAACTGGGCAGAGATACTTTGACTCAGACCGAGATTATTCTTCTTAATCTTGGTGGGAAAGTTCTGTTTTGAACATGACCATTTTTATCATCTTTTCGGTCACTGAAACTAGCAGTTGTTGCGCTTTTCAGTTGTTCTTTTGCTTGAATATTTGGTAATAATAACAACACTCTTCAAAGTACTAACCTTTCCCCGATTCATGCTTAGAGAAACCAAAGGCAGTTGGACATGATCAGGCTGACCCACACTCCAAGGGGCGTTCAGAAAACAACTGAGCACGCATCAAACTGTGGGACAAGGTTCCTAAGTCTTATTCTTTAACCCTATTTCACTTCCTAACAGTGAGCTTCCACAACATGGACTCGGCTCCCCGGCCAGGAGGCAACTATTTCCCCAAGTCTTTTATTCCTTTACTAGAGGCCTTTACTAGGTCCCCAGGCCTGGCCGGCGATCAGGGCCCATCAGGTTCCCTGCAACTTCCTAACAGTGAGCTTCCACAACATGGACTCAGCTCCCCAGCCAGGAGGCAACTATTTCCCCAAGTCTTTGATTCCTTTACTAGAGGCCTTTACTAGGTCCCCATGCCTGGCCGGTGATCAGGGCCCATCAGGTTCCCTGCTTCCCCCATCAGTTCTCCCGGGAGAACTCCCCAGGTGATACTTTACACATTAGCCTTTTATATATATAGATACTGGCACACTTACTACAGGTAATGCTTCCTTTCGTACAGGAAGATGCCAATGCAGCTGTGTGAAAAGGAGCCCAGGAGTGGGAAAGGGAGGGTGCAGCACACAGCTCTGGAGAGCAAGATCATGTCTGGCAGACAGTGAACCTGATGCGTCAAAGAACTTCATACATTTCCCATTGCTTCATTACGCTTGGGGTTTCCCCCTTCATATGTAAAGTCATGGTCCGTGAAAGTCTCTATAGAAGTATGAAGCGCAGTCAGCTGTCAGTCTTTCACAGTGTTACCAGCACTGAGAGTGTCATTCCACCGCACATGCTTTCCTAATCACGCTGATCTCATTCGGCTTCACTGGAGTCACATCTCAAGTGTGACCCTATTTTAATGGAATCACTACTAAAATCTGGGAAAGCCCACATAAATGTCAATGCAAATGCTGGCTACCAAGATCACACTGTTGAAAAGTACATTCCAATACTAGTGGTACAATAACAGCAAAAACAAAATATGGAACATCCAGTTTATTAATTACAATTACTAAGTTACTGACTTCATTACCTATGATTTTTCATCGCCTTATTCATTGTATCCCATTAGGGGGAAATGCCCCTCCCCTTTGGCTTTTTTGTTGTTGTTTTTGAATGACATGGATTCACTGCCTCTGAGTTTCTTTCAGGGGCTAATGAAAGAAAAAATAGAAGGAGCGCTGGTCTGGGAGTTGGGAATGCCAACTCTAGTCCCTGAGCTGCCTTTCTGTGGGTTTTCAAGCAAGTCACATCACCTCTGTTTTCTAATCTGCGTGCCATGAGGATTGGACTATGATTCCCAAGGTCACCTTCAGCCCTGTGATTGAGATTCTGAGAAATCAAATCTTTTTACCTTTTTTTTAAAGAAAATTTTTTTTATCGATTTCAGAGAGGAAGGGAGAGGGAGAGAGAGATAGAAACATCAATGATGAGAGAGAATCATCGGTGGGCTGCCTCCTGCACGCCCCACACTGGGGATCGAGCCCGCAACCCTAGCATATGCCCTGACCAGATATCGAACCATGACCACCTGGTTCATAGATAGATGCTTAACTATGAGCCAAGCCAGCTGGGCCACATCTTTTTACTTTATATCACAACATTTTTTGGTTATTATAACTGTTTTATTGTCACTGATAATACTGCTTAGCCTCCATGTACACAAATATAAAAATGTAAGGAAAGGAGAATTATGGAAATACTAGCACTATCAATGGTTATCAGTTATAAATGAATTCTAATCTATAACAAAGATTTTAATGACACAGTAGATTGGATGTTAGAAAAAGTGAGCGACTTAATGGAAAAAGAAATGCCACTAAAAAGCAAGAAGCTTGTGCAATAAATTAGAGCTTCCACAAAAGCGAAACCAAGGTCAAGGTGAAATCAAGTTCACGGAGCTTCACCAGAACCAGTCCTGGTCTTCGGGACCCAATGAGAATAAGAGAGACAGGCACATCAACTGGAAAAAGTGCTAGCGATGAGATTTTGAAGGCAAGGCAAAAGAAAGAAAACTGAAACATTTTGAAGAAAATAGAAACGAAACAGTGAAACTGCTATAGTCTTTCTGTCTGGCTCTGGGCAGTGGTTCTGTGAAAAAAAATCTTTTTCATATGTAAAAGCTCTTTTTTAAATTGAATTTATTGGGGTGATACTGGTTAACAAAATTATACAGGTTTCAGGTGCACAATCCCACCGCACAGCACTCAGCACCCAGGTCAGTCTCCTTCCATGACCATGTATCACCCCTGTACTCTCCTCCACCCCCCTCCCCACCTCATCCCTGGCAATCCCCACACTGTGGTCCATGTCTATGAAAAAGTTTGAAACTTTGTGCTTTCCCTTGGGAAGCAATCTGAAAAAGTCTATGAACTATACGCACACGTGTCTATGTGTGTATGTGTGAAATCAGAAGCAAGCACGGCCGGGGGGATCTGGGTGGCCACCTGAGGAGGAAGCCCGGCCAAGTGGTTTCTGAACACGGGGCCTTTCCTGGTACATGTGTCTATGTGTGAAATCAGAAGCAAGCACGGCCGGGGGATCTGGGTGGCCACCTAAGGAGGAACCCCGGCCAAGTGGTTTCTGAACACGGGGCCTTTCCTGGTGGTGGTGCCCGGGGGCAGTCAAGGGCCACTGACAGACGCACTGAAGTGGGCTGCATATGCTAAGAATTATTTCCCCCACGGGAAGGCCTCATGATGACATCTGACAGATACGACTAACCAGCCACTTGCAGCAGTTCATAGACAAGGAGAACGGACGTCATTCGTTCTCAGCAGGAAATGACATTAACACCAGCTATGGGGCATTCACCGTGCATCAGGCAATGCTCTAAGCACTGTCTTAACTCACTGAATCTTCCCAGCATTCCTGTGAGAACGTCCTTATCGCCGCTGTACAGATGAGGACTTCAACGTCAGAAAGATTGAGTAACGTGTCCAAGGTCAAAAAGCTGGTTAAGGAAGACTCAGGCAGTCTGGCTTCTGAGTCCACATTCTTAACCACTAGAATGTTCCTACCTACATTTCTCAGTGATACTTATAACCCAGACCCAACAGACACGAAAAGTGGCTACTCAGGGCAGTCCGTCTTCTATTCATAGGGCAAACTGCAATTTGGTTTCAGCCAAATATGATACCAATACATTTTATTTTGAATGTTAGTGTTTTGTACTTCATGCTTAATCGGTAGATGTTTTGATTTTGTAGTTGTAAGAGTTATAAGCACAAGGTATTTCTGCTTAATTTTAAGTTGCATTTAAGTAACATAATACAAGTAGCTTAGTGAGCTTTGAAGTGTTGGTGAGGATCTTTACCCGCACAACATACCCTCCAGAAATGCTGGTCTCTGTGGATGCTCAACGACTGACTTCCAGCCCAGCTCTGGGAGCGATGGATGTGTCTGTGCACCTGTGTGTTTAGTGTGTGCTGGTTCCTCACACGTCTGTCCAGTGTTGGTCTGTACATCTTGACCCTCCTCCCTTTAGTTCCCCATAATAACCACACGGGGTGACTAGTCACTGGCTCAATGACCTTAAGCTGGAATTTTCCAATCACAAGACTTACGGAAGATAAAGGCAAGACACATGCCAGAGAGAAGGCTGGCTGGTGTGCGGGAGGAGGGAGAGGCCACAGAGGACTGACACACGTGAATGAGCCTACGTCATGCCACAGGCCCAGCCATGCTGGGGCAGGGCCTGCTCATGCCAACCGTGCTACCTAAATCCTTCCGTGTGACATTTCAAAATTTTATCTAATGTGTTCAGTGCTCATAGGCTGTTTCTGGTGCGTACCAGACATTCTGATGTGTGCAACTCACAAACAGGCATCTGATTTGATCCTCAAACAGCCCTATGAGGGGATCTCCATTCTTTTTTTAAATTAGAGATGTTACTTTATTTTTATTTTTTTAAAATATGTTTTTATTGATTTTTTAGAGAGAGAGGAGGGAAGAGGGAGAGAAGACAGAAACATCGATGATAGTAAAACATTGATTGGCTGCCTCCTGCACGCCCCCTACTGGGGATTGAGCCCGCAACCCAGGCATGTGCCTGACTAGTAATCAACCCTGACCTCCTAGTTTATAGGTTGATACTCAACCACTGAGCCATGCCAGCCGGGCAACCAGTATGCTTTTTAAAGGATTCATTTCTGATTTCCTCAGGTGGGTATGCTGAGAGAGCCTACGACGTAAAAGCCAATGCTCCACAGGCCCTATGGCTGTCCTTACAGTTACAGGCTTCTTACCCCTCACGCATGCTTTTTCCTGACAAAAGCCTCATGTTCTTCCCTCACAGTTATCTAAATGACTCGATTCCCAAGAAGAGGTTATGATTTCTGAAGAAAACATGGCTACTATACTATCATAGTTAAATCTAAATAACTCAATTTCAAAGCAGAAAAGATGTAGATAAACGTATTTAAAGGAACTTAAAAAAAAAAAAAA